CTTTGACTTTTCCTAAGCCAGTGAATAAGACGCTTCTAGAAAAGTAGACATCTGTTTTGTGACTAGCTAAACTATCTTCAATACAACTCATGTGTAGTCTGTGCTGGCCTTCCCAACTTCCCCAACTCATGCATGGCCCACACCAGTCCTCCTATGCCCTTCCCAGCCAACCTCCCATGGCACTCCCATGCACCTTGTCTGGGGCTCCTTTTTTAACGGAACTATAACCAACCACCAGGTTTGCCCTTTCTTCTCTGGAAGTCTCCAAAATACACACATTTTTAAAGGATGCATAGCATATTGCTAAATTCCAATGTTTTTCTGGACTACTTTAGGCCTGATTACTTTTTCATTTATTTCTTCATATTTGCTCACCACTCCTATTTCCACCTCCCTGTTAGCCTTTACCACCAATTGAAAATGTTAACCATGTGCTGAGATCCAAGGCAGAGATGGTAAAAGTAACAGGAGCAAAAATGGAGCAAAAACAAAGTTCAATCCATTATACATAATACTTTCTGGATAATTTTTCTGTAAGTATAGATCCAAAGATCCTTGTCCGGGAGCCCCAGACAAGGTGCATGGGAGTGCCATGGGAGGTTGGCTGGGAAGGGCATAGGAGGACTGGTGTGGGCCATGCATGAGTTGGGGAAGTTGGGAAGGCCAGCACAGACTACACATGAGTTGTAGGAAGGCCTCAGATAGGCAGTAGAAGCTGCAGGAGGTGGAGGAATGCTACAGGCAGTGAATAAGCAGGAGTGACCGTACTTGAGTAATCCTCCCTGCCAACTTTCCCATTGATTTTGCTTGCAGGAAGCCTGCAAGGAAGGCTTCAAATGGTGATTGTGTGATCTTGACTGTCTTGACCCAGTAATTGTGAACCATGTACTCCAGTGCTCAGATCTTGATCATGTGTCCACAGTAGTGCTGCAATGGCCAGAATTTTGAGGACCTATTATATATCTGTTTGTTCAGCACTGTTTGAACGATCGCTGAACAAATGGACGTAAGTCAAGGATTATCTTTATCTGTAACTGTATCTGATCCACTATGTGTAATGCAAATCCCAGTGAGTTTTACATGTCATGTAATTAATTTGATATTATAAATTCTGCATAATACAATCTCTTTTTTTCCAGATGAGAATAATTTGATATGTTTTGGAGCAAAAAGCCCAGCATAAGCTTGTTATGAGGCAACACACCGAGGAGAACAGCATCTTTACAGTCTATCACCTCTGCCATCACTAATGTAGGGAAAGCCTATTGAAACCTTCAATAATGCTGATACTCTGTCTTCCTGAAGATTAGGTAGCATCTGCCAGAAAGGCTTTTTGCATTAATACTTCTGACAAATTCAGAACCACAATCAACACTATCTAGAAAGTCAAAAATTAAAATCTGAATGGTTTTTGTTTTTAAGATTTACAATGATTCATATTTAAATACAGATGTTGCAGGTAGTCCTCGACTTACGACCCAAAATTTCTATTGCAAAGCAACAAGTTGTTTTACCCCATTTTACAACCTTTCCCTGCCATAGTTGTTAAGTGAATCACTGCAGTTGTTAAGTTTGTAACCCAGTTGTTAAGTGAATCTGGCTTCTCCATTAATTTAGCTTGTCAGAATATTGCAAAAGGTGACCACGTGACCCTGGGACGCTGTAACTGTCATAAATATGATTCAATTGCCAAGCGTGTGGATTTTGATCATGTGACCATGGGGAATGCTGCAATGGTTGTAAGTGTGAAAAATGGTCACAATTCACTTTTTTTCCAGCGCTATTGTAAACTTTGAATGGTCTCTAAATGAATTATTGTAAGTCATCCTCATTTGGTGACTACAGTTGGCATTGGCAACTTGGTCATCATGTGAAATGATCACTAAGAGAAACCATGACTGTGCTTATGATCTTATTTCAGCTTTCCTTTGTTTTATAGACCTGCAAAGGTTATAAATGAAAAGATGGGTAGCTAAGGTGCTTTTTCATCACTGTCATAACTACAATTGGTTGCTAAACAAGGCAGACACTAAACTGTATTGATCTCCATCCACAAGGGATCGATTCAGCAGGAATTAATATTTCATATAGACATGCTTTGTTTTCTGAAAACTTTTATTTATCATCTTCAAAGGACTTAGTCCTTTTAAAAGGAGGGCAAAATCTCTAGAGTTTTCTGCAAGGGAAGGAATGCCCTTTTTTTCCCTATAAAAAGTTGGACTGTGCAACTCACAGAGAGAAATCACATTCATGGTTTCCCAGAAATGAAGCCCAAAGGGCTTATTCCCAGATAAATGGTATAGGATTGCAGATTTAATTATGTCCTTGAAATCCACTGTAATATTTATTTTGGAAGTCATTTTATTTAATTTTGTGCCGTAGTGGGAAAATGTTAGGATGTTATATATAGAGGATCTCAAACACTTCCAGATTTATTATGGAACAAACGTTCATACACTGGAGGCATATCACCTTATTCATGGGATGGGGCCTCCAGCTAGTTAGGCTCCAATGCTCAAAAATCTAAGTCTTCAATAAGCTTCAGTGGTACTCTTTATCTATTGCTTTCCCTCCAGTTCAAAATATTTATGGAAGAAATCCACATACTTTTACCTCACTTGTTAAATTGTACGTCTCATGATATGCATGCAGGTAATAGCACTCTGAAATTGGATACAAAAGTAAATGAAGATAGTTTAGCTAGCCACAAAACAGATGTCTACTTTTCTAGAAGCGTCTTATTCACTGGCTTAGGAAAAGTCAAAGATCTTGCAGTGAGCCTTTTCTAACTATCCCACAATACTCCAATCCCCAAACTTTTTTTTCCTCGGGAATAATTACAGTTGGCTTTGAATCTATCCCCCTGCCCAATCCCAACACACACACACACACACACACACACACACACACACAC